AATTAATTATTATTAATGGCATTTTCATTAATTAACTCATATCTCCGTCAAAAAGGCGCATGGACCCAAACCAACTTGGAGTTTTTCACTACTGACTATTCCCTACATGATGAAAATAGTCTGAGTCTAAAAGCTTTTAATCACCTCGACAGGTTCCCTCGTAAGATGATCGTCGATAAAATAATATCAAATTGTTCAGTTTTCGACTCAACGTAGGCAGCCATACATCAGTTATAGGAACTGATATCAGAACATCTAGACAAATTGTTTTATAACACGCTTATTAAGAATACGAAACATTCATTGAAGAGTCCCGAAATACGGGAGTTTATAAATATTTATAACTTACAACTCATTTTCTAGCGGAAAATCGTTTATAAATTGATTTATAACTATTTTGGACATTGTCCAAACAATTTGAGACTCTTTAGTGGAAACATCATCTCACTTTGTAGAGAAATGTTTTTTCTCGATCTCTTTGTTGCATGAAAAAATCGTTTACAATTAATTGTAATACAAATATGAGCAATTTAGAATACCATAGCTGTATATATAGAATAATCGATGGAATCAGTTGTTTAACTGTTCAGATTATCTGCTGATGAAAAATTTCGAAATAAGAGACGTTTTATCAGCGCATATTCAAGAAAAACTGTCTATGAATAAATTTTGTGAGAATTTATTTGTTTTATTTAATTCATCTTTTGAATAGGACAATATTTTCTCAATTCGATGATTAGATTTATTTTTTGTTGAAATTTGATGCTGGAATTTGAAAAAGTTTTAGAAAAAGGTTTCACTCGGTTTCTCTTCGACAATTTGTTACAAAAAAATAAACTTCTCGCTTTTATCTCCTTTCATTTTTCATTTGGAGCAAATAGATAGACAAAATATGCCTCTACAAAATGAGATGTTTCACAGGCCGAGACGATTTGTAATAATTGCACTAGAATGATCTTTCTGAATGCTTTAAAAAAAAAAACAGTCTATAAATAATTGATGAAATATCAAACTCAAAATTATTCACGCATATCATCTTTTTATGTCATCTATTAATTATTGTGATATAATTATAATATCTTTGTTCTAGGATTTTTATTATTTAAAGAATATTGTCTCAGTATTTGTGATGAACCAGTACCACAGCTCAAATTCTATGAAGAAGTATGTGTTATACTGTTTACTTTTTGATCTTTAGATTAATATTAATAAAATGATCATTTTGTTGTTATTTTTTTTCTCTTGTTAAGATCAAACGATTTGAAAAATTAGAAACCGATGAAGAAAGGTGGAAAGTAGGAAAAGAAATTTATGATCAATTTATTATGAAAGAATTATTATCAAATTCCCATGTAAGTATATGAAATTCTTTCAACTGTCCAATAACTCGACTATAACTCAAGGGAAAGAAGGCTATTAACTATTATTTAGAGTATTTTTCTCCATAAAGTAGAAGAAATTGATGCGTTAAAGATGATGTCTGATAGAATCAAGTATTTTTCTACAGTTTCAGATTACTCACACTACTCTATGACCTTTCTTTGAGAAAATATCAATGTTTTAACGTCGAATACTTTATGCCGTAAAAGTTCTAAGTACAGAATTCATTTTCTTCTCCTTTGTTTAAATTAGTTTTTATGTCAAAGAGCTAATCTTGTAGAATAGAGAAGAACTTCAGAATGAAATGTATTAGACTTACTTTCAGCTTTCTGAAATGTTTCTCTTCGAAAGTTTTCTAGTATTTTGTCAAAAGTCTTAAAAAAAAAGTGACCCTACCGTCTTTGGTTCAAACCATGGTTCAATCGCATAGTATACCGCACCAATCCCATCATCGTTTGAGTTCAAATTTTTACCACTGATACTCGATATCCATATGTCCAAATGGGAGAATCGTACAGGAGTGTGTCTCATTTGAGTGCATCATTTTTTAGAGCGTCTCACTTTGAGTGCGTTCTTATTTAAGTGTATCTTATTTTAGTATGTCTGATTTGGGTACGCGTTCAATTATATCACTTATCGGGTGGTCCAGACACTTTTATTCATTGTTCATAAGACACTGTCCAGTAGTTCACAGAGTTTATTCTAAGCTCAATCGATAGAGAATTGAATTCTCGATAAAACTTGCTATTTGAATTTCTGTTAACATTTTTGTCGTTTGAGCACTATTCATAATATTGAAGAGTGCTGAGTTGCCTGACTGCGACACACTGAAAATAGAAAACTATTCGTCATGATCCAAAAACAGATTTCATAAGAATTTTGAAAACACCAGACGATTCACCGGAAAATTCTGCATCTTCTCACATATTTTTCGAAATTTTACAGTTAAGTCTTCAAAGAAAATTTGTCTGTGCAAAAAACTAACAAATCTCCAAAAACCTAAGTTTTGAACCTATTTTTCACAGAATTTAGTTTTTTGCCTATAAAGCAGTAAAACATTCTGAATCCAGGGTTCTAGTCTGATTATCGTACGCAGACTTAAATTTGGCATCGTTTCATATATAAACAAAGTTTCTCAACTGAAACCATTAATTAAAAAAATTAAAAAGTTGGTTGAGAGCTAATTATAAGTTTAGCTGGCGTAGCAGAAACATTGTATGAAGTTGTAAAGAAGTGAGATCGATAGAGCACAAAATTCTCTATCTATTTACGTAGATAAGTTAACTACTGAACCTCAGATAATGGGCGAAAAATCTCAAAAAAAGGAGACGACAAAAGCTTGTCGCAGTCAGACAACTCAGCACTCTTCAATATTATGAATAGTGTTCAAACGACAAAAATGTTATCAGAAATTCAAATAGCAAGTTTTATCGAGAATTCAATTTTCTATCGATTGAGCTTAGAATAAACTCTGTGAACTACTGGACAGTGTCTTATGAACAATGAATAAAAGTGTCCGATTTTATCTGGACCACCCGATATTCTTGAAAATATTTTGAAACTATTGAACCGTTTCTATCATCACTGTTTGTTATTAATTCTTAGTGGTCAGTGATATTTTATTTTAATTTTAAGCATTATTTTGACAATGCAATTTTATTTTAAGAAGACAAACTGCTATGCACGTTTAGCAGCAGTAAAAATATCTTTCAACTACCAAAACATAATCTAACAATTGAATTAGATCTAGATTAAAATCATCTGTTATACATTGTACCATTCGGTTTGAGTCTTTAATATTTAAATTTTTTTCGATTTGTATATGTCCTAGCATGTAAACGTTGAATATCATGTTGAACTAAGACGTATTGTGTTTTAGTCAATCGTCAGACAGTCGATTGTGTTTGTAATAGATGTAACAGTTTAGAATGCCATAATTCAATATCATTGTTTGTTCAACTATCTTGATCAAAAACAGTTCAAACTTCGATATCATACTGTCCATTTAACCAGTTGTTAGAAAAAATAATGATAAAACGGTTGCATTTTATGTTGTAGACGTAATGATATCGAATCAACTAAACTGTACTAAATGTGTTTGTAGACATTGAATGACTGAAATAAAAGATTCCTAGTCATTAAGAATAAATAACAACTAGTGGTGACAGAAACGGTTCAATAGTTTCAAAATATTTTCAAGAATGAACATACACCCTAAAATAAGATACACTCAAGTAAAGTCTCACCGTCCAGATATTTTTCAATTTAGCTCTCCAGTATCTTTTCATCATATTGAGACAAATTGAACTGAAAAAGTCTCAAAATGAAACTCTAGTTAAATCTTTGAAAGGTAAATCGAAAAACAACTGAACGTGTGTTATGTGTAGTAGAAATTTAAACTCGAATGTACAAAAACGGTACAATATACAATTAAAAATCCGATTGTACAGAAAACCATACGTTGAATTCTAAACTCTGAAGAAAATAATATGTTTATTTTATTTTTGAAGAAATACTTGGATTCAATTTTTCTATTTCTCTTCGATTCATCAGTAAGATTCTATAAATAAGACAAGAAATGAGAAGAGAATATCTTTTTGTTACCCATGATATCTAACAAATTTTTGTTTAAAGAAGTGAATCATTTCTAAATAGAAACTTTATTGATATTATTTTTTAGACGTATTCTCAGAAAGCTGTTGAAAGTGTACAAAAACATCTATCAAAATATAATCCAAATAATCCAAAAAATTCATTACCATCTAATTTATTTGAACCATATAAAAAAGAAATCTGTGATCTACTCAGGGGAAGAATATTTGATAAATTTATGGAATCAGAAAAATATGCGAGATTTTGTCAATGGAAAAATTTAGAATTAAATATACAGGTAAATAAATAAATAAAATATAAATAATTATTTCTATTCAATTTTACTTACTATTTTTATACTTTCTAGTTGACAATGAATGATTTTAGTGTACATAGAATTATTGGACGTGGAGGATTTGGTGAAGTGTATGGATGTAGAAAAGCTGATACGGGAAAAATGTAAATTATCAAAATTAACTTGTATTATAAAAAAATGTTTTTTTTTGTTTTTGTTTCTATTCTTATTTTAGGTATGCAATGAAATGTCTAGATAAAAAACGTATTAAGATGAAACAAGGTGAAACTTTAGCGCTCAATGAAAGAATTATGTTATCACTTGTTAGCACAGGAGTATGTATAATTATTTATTCTTTTAAATTATTTTTTTTTTTTGAAACAAAATTAACTATTTATATATTTTTCTTAATTTTATTAGGAAGGTTGTCCATTTATTGTTTGTATGACATATGCATTTCATACCACTGACAAATTATGTTTTATTCTTGATCTCATGAATGGTAAGTATATTGTGCAAATTGTTTTTTTTCTTCTCTTATTACAATCTTTACATGTCTACTGATGATATTTTGTATATTTGTCAAGGTGGTGATTTACATTATCATTTATCTCAACATGGTGTATTTACTGAAAAAGATGTGAAATTTTATGCAGCTGAAATTATTTTGGGATTAGAACATATGCATTTACGATCAATTGTTTATAGAGATTTAAAAGTAACATAATTTGTTCTATTTTTTATTTCTTTATTTTCTATTATATGTATGATTTATCCTTATATTTATTAGCCTGCCAATATTCTTCTTGATGAACATGGCCATGTGAGAATATCCGATCTGGGATTAGCTTGTGACTTTTCTAAAAAGAAACCACATGCCAGTGTGTAAGTAATATTAAATATATGAAATTATCATATAAAAATAATATTAAAAATTTCTTCTAATCTTATTATTCTAGTGGAACACATGGTTATATGGCACCAGAAGTTTTGGCTAAAGGTGTTGCATATGATTCAAGTGCCGATTGGTTTTCATTCGGATGTATGATTTATAAATTGCTCAAAGGGTATGTTTATTTCATTAATTGAACAATTTTTAGTCAGATTTTCTCATCGCTGTTTCCAGTAATTCTATCGAAAGAGAATATTCTAAAAAGAGTGTCTATTCATTTTCTTTAAAAGAGCATTTTGTCTCCTTAGAAGGAAATACTCAAGTTTTCGTATCTTAGTAAAACCAGCGAGTTAGTTGAATTTCTACTTCGTTAACGAAAACCTTTGTTTCTGAATAATCATTTTATTGCTTGTAAAAGGACTATCTAACAGTGTGCACACACACACAGTATAGACCTTTTGGAAAAAAAAAAGTATTTCATTTCTTTTACTCTTTCTTTTCTCTTTTTCCCTCTATTTTTTTTAAAACGATAGTTATTTACTTTGTTGTTATTTCCATTTGTCTATGTTACGTTTCTTCAGGCAACCAGGTACAATACTTTGCGATTCCTGACTATCTATGATGCTTATTGCAATTGATTAATAAATATAGGTTAAACTAATAAACAGTAGTGATTTTTGAGAGAAAAGTTTTGGCTTGTGATGCAAACATGCCGATAAAACTCTTTTTGTGAATTATTATCGTTCTTCAGTCATCTCAAAACATTATAAACGAAAAATAAATGTTTAAAAAAGCAAATAAATCATTTTTTTTCCAGAAAATTGCTGTCTAGGGCGAAAAAATTTGATTTTCATTTAAAACTTATTGTTTGATACGGCGTTCAATGGAATTTGACGAATTTATTCCGAATATATCATTTGCATTGATTGGGGACATACTTTTAGTTGAAAGAAATGGATCTTACATCAAAGATCATGGGTTTCTGAAAAACTTCTTCAAAAGCCTAGAAACCTTTACACTAAAACCGTAAATGCGTACTATCGATAGGAAGTTTGAGTAAACTCTGACGAAAAGGTGAAAAATGGGTGGAAACTTACTACAATAAAGGCACGTTTTGGGGAAGCTTTATTAGTATGAAAAACAAACAACAAGTTTTTTTCTTAAATACTTGAAAATGGCAGACAGTTTATGCACAAAATCTTTGTTAAGCCAAACAAACATTTAACTCGGAGAAAAATGTGATATTGATAGGTATGACGATTTTAAGACTATTTTTAGTTTTAAAAAAATGTTTTCATTTTTGGTTTTTGGGCTAAATGTCTCTATCATTGCCTACTGTGTCCGTGACACTACATACCAGAAAAACAGAACCTTTTTTCACTTCTACGTGATAGAAAGAAGAAAATAACTTTTGTTTGCTCGCACAGGAAACCGGCTTAACAATCGTATTAAAGATCATCCCATTCCATCGAAATGTTTTTAAAACCCTCGAAGACAGTGATATTTTTACATAAAATCAAAATTTCGAAAACCTGATTTATAATGATCTTTATACAAATTTGAATTCTCAGTTTTTCTTTGTAATCGAATGAAACAATTCTTTTTTGTTTGAATAATTATTCTGTGTACTCTAAGAGTTCTATGCGATATGCTACGGATTTTTTTCTAATATTAGTAGATTATTAGCACAATCATGAAGAAAATTTTTAAACTTTTAACTCACTAAGAGATGAAAACTTAGGTGTTACTGTATCTTCTTCCAAGAAGACAAAATACCTTTTGAAGGCAATGAATAGGCTCTTTTGACAGATACTATACGACTGCAAACAGAGTTAAACAACTGGGAATATACGAGGACCGAAGGCAGGATTTTGCTCAAGGGGCTACACTGTAGGTGTAAATCGATATACCGATTTTCTTACATTTTGTTTTTTTTGATTGTACCCGTTCTGATTCCAATATAGCCATCTGTGCGACAGCGACTGGTCTAGAATAATAAGATTAGAAGAAATTTTTAATATTATTTTTATATGATAATTTCATATATTTAATATTACTTACACACTGGCATGTGGTTTCTTTTTAGAAAAGTCACAAGCTAATCCCAGGTCANATCTTCACACCGGTTTGCATTAATGAAGCGCGCGAAAAAAAAAAATGTAGATATTTAAATCTTTTACTTGTCATTTCTAATAATGTCTTTTGAAAAGAGATGAAAGTTCGAACCTTATCTCGTCAGTAATTGTGATTGTTTTTATAGCAGTTAAATAATGGGGTATGCCCCTGGCTACGGGACAAGAGGAAGGCTTTTTTCTAGTTCATAAAATACGAGAAGGATACTGATGCAGACAGTAAAAACTATGAACAATTAGATGAATGATGATACATAAACTTGTTTTTTTTTAATAAAACTCGTTATATTTGATGAGATTTTGGTAATTTGATCAAGTTTGTATGAAACAATAGACAGATGAGATGAGAAAGATCAAAGTCTACGAAGAAAACGGATAGATTTCTTTAATGATTTTCTAGAAAAAACAACTATTCACTATTTTTAATTGTCAAAAAATAATTCTTAATTCTCATCTCCAATCCAAGACTCGTTCGATGACAAAAACTATTTCTACATGAGAATATTTTCTCGTTTTAAATAAAATATATTCGAAAGTAAATTATATATTTTTTTCTTATATATTCTAGTCACAGTCCATTTCGTCAGCATAAAACCAAAGACAAACATGAAATTGACAAAATGACAATGACTATGGTAAGTATTATAAAATATTTGAATACCTTTAAACAAGGTGAATAGTGAAAAAAAAAATAAAATAAATAAATACATAAAATAGTTAAATATTTAATAGTCTCATTGATTTCCTCTCTCTTTTTGTTTTGTTATCTTTATCAGGACATGGTATGATTATTTCACATATTTTGTTTTGTTCAAACAGCCCCCTAGCCTTGCTTTGCTTTTCGTTTTGTATTTTATTTGTTTGTTTTGTATAATATTCTATAATAGAAAAAATATTTACTTTTTATAGACAATTGAATTACCTGAAACAATGACAAATGAAATGCGTGGACTTCTAGAAGGTCTATTGCAACGAGATGTAGATAAAAGATTAGGATGTTTAGGAAAAGGGTAAACCATTTTCTTTTTTTTGTTTTTGCTTTATTTTCTTATTTTAAAAAATAAAATTCTTTTTTTATTCTAGAGCTGAAGAAGTAAAAGATCATGGATATTTTAAAGATATTGATTGGAAACAAGTTGCCTTACAAAAATTAACTCCACCTCTAATTCCACCTAGAGGTGAAGTAAATGCAGCCGATGCATTTGATATTGGAAATTTTGATGAAGATGATACAAAAGGAATTAAAGTAAACACAGTTATATAATATATTCTCTAATTTTTGCTTTTTTTTTTTAATTCTGTTTTTTTGTTTTTCCTTTATTTAGTTAACTGAAGCTGATCAAGAATTATATAAAAATTTTCCAATTGTTATCTCAGAAAGATGGCAACAAGAAATAGCAGGTATATTATTTATTTAATTTTTGAGATATAATATTAAATCTTCATTTTCAATCGTGTCAAGTTTGCATGACAAGCTTTTGTCTGAATTCTTTTTTTTTTTGTTATTGTTGTTGTTGTTGTTGCAATGATTAAATCATCTTATGTAATGTGATGGATGTGTTTCAAATCTTTGATGTTGTCTATATTTATTTATTTATTTTTCATTTAGAAACTGTGTTTGACACTGTTAATCAAGAAACGGACAAAATTGAACAAAAGCGTCGAGCTAAATTTAAACAAAATAATATTTATGACGATGAAAAAACGTCAGATCTTATTTTACAAGGACAATTGAAGAAGAATGCGGGCACATTTGGATTTTCTTGGCAAATTCGCTATGCAAAATTATATCCTAATAGATTAGAATTACACTATGAAAAAGGAGATAAAGATCCTGAAGTAAGAATTTTTGTTTTGTTTTATTATTTCTATTATTTTGTGAAAAAAAAAATTATAGAAATATTTTGTTTTTTTTCATCGATCATAATTAGAACAAATTTGAAAAATGATTTCAATAGATAGAAGGATGTATGTTAACAAAACGATGGATGAAAGGTTAAAAAACATTTTACATAGATAAGCTGAATAAGACGTTGTATGCACAACCTTTGACCGACTCTGTAGTCAATGAAAAAGTAAGTAGTAAGGCAATATCTGGCTATTGGAAACTAGAGATGTTCAGTTCTCGGTTCTTCATTGGGAATCGGAATTGCAGTTTCTTAAAACGGTTCCTTTTTTTCTGAACGGAGGACTGTTTGACTTGCCTTTCTTTTAACAAAATGAAAACACATTCTCACGAGGGAATCTCTCGAGATGATAAAACGCTTTTTGATCGAAATTTAGTGGGTTATAGGTTATCGACCGTGCTGAATCCGAATATCAACATAAGACGGGCTCTTAGACCTTCAAAAACCGGTTTTCTGGAAAACTGATTTTTCAAAAACTCTAAAAAATAACCCAAACTTTTCTTAACAATGCAGGATTATAGTCCGCGAAATTCTGATTAAAATGAGACAACTCCCAGCTCTACACGACCTTTCTTGGTAAAGTTATAGACTTTATAAGAAAAGCCCTAAGTGTTCATTGTTAGCTCAAAGCCACAGAAAATAAGAAGAAATTAATTTGTCTTGTAAATTCTATAACTTTGCAAAGAAAAGTCATGCAGAGCTAGGAGACGTCTCATTTTAATTAGAAATGTGTGGGCTACAAACATGACTTATTAAGAAAAGTTTCAGGAATTTTTTGGAGTTTCCGAAAAACTAGTTTTCAAGAAAACCGGTCTTTGAAGGTCTAATGATCCGTCTCATGTTGATATTCGTAATCAGCACGGTCAATAACCTAGAACATACCAGATTTTGATCAAAAAGCGTTTTATCATCTCGAAAGATTCCCTCGTTAATTCGGAACTGAGAACCGAAAATCTTTATTAGAAACTATAAACAACTACTAATATTAGTAACAAGCCCTGTTTTTCTCTCTATTCTCAAATGAGCATAGGTGGTGCTTGCTTATTATCTTACCAATATTACGTTAAGTTGACTAGCATGAATCAAAAACAAATGATTATTTTTCTTAATTAGAGAGTCCATAAACATTCGTAGATGTAAACTCATATTGTACTTCGCCGTTAATCGTTTTTTTTCTATTCACCATTTTGTTTTACAAACGTAGATAAGAAACACAGAGAAATTTTAAAAAAAAATTTTGATTTTCATCGTTTTTTTCATCTTTTTAGATTCAGGACTTGTCAAAGTATGAACTTTGACTTGTGTAAATTTTCGCCCAGACACAAAGTCTTCTTGCGCTTTGAGTACTAGATAAATGACCAAAAAGAAAAGAAAACTAGAAAATAGTTTCGAACTCATGTCGTTCAAATTTATAATGAGAAAAAAAGAACTGCGGTTCAAAGAAAATATCGTATGGTACAATAATCGCGGTAATCTCACGATATTCTGCCAGTATTGAACACATAGGATGTCTTATTCAGATTTGTCTGTATGAAACTTTCTTTAGGTTATATCTGAATGTCACCATTTTCTATTTATTTACTTTTCGAAAAATTTCCTATCAAAAAACATTTAAATGAAACTTACATATACATCGCTCCTGATTGAAATCACTTTTCAGATTTGTTCTAACTATTACGATTGGATAAAAACCGTTTAAAAATAAATTGTTATACAGTATTGTATTCAAAAATTCATTTTTTGCCAAAATAATCTTTTTGTTCATGTAAAAAGAGTGAAATTATTATTTACTTTTTTATTTATTACTTTGTAGGTTTATACAATGGAACGCATTGAACATATCGATTCAAAAGAATGTAAAGGACAAAAAACAATCACAATTCATTTAAGAGGAGGAAATGAGCCACGATTAATGCTTTCACCTCAAGTAAGAGACTATTTTAATTTCTATTATTTTTTATTCTCTATAGATATTATTTTTAAATATGGGCACGTCTTCCTTCACCAATATTGTTATTATTATTTTTGCTCGTACTAATTCCATAATTTCTTATGTATACTGTTTATAGTCTATCTGTTTATTCGTACACTCTTCGATCTATTTTCAGCCACGCTTTATTCCTTTATTTTTGTATAAAAAATATATCATTTCTTTTGAGTTTTTTCTATTGCTCTATTGTTCGTGTGCTTTGCATGTAGTGCTCGACGTACACCACTTTCTTGTTTCTATCTGTCATTAAGCATGTTGTTTAAATAAACTATTTTTTTTCTTTTTCTCTTATCTATAGTGTTATTTTTAGGTTAATTCACAAAACTCAATCTTTTTTTTTTGAGTTTTTAATTATTTCTATATAGAAAAATAATTTTTCTTCGATTTATAATTAAATTTCAATATAATAGAGTCGATGTTAGATTGATAGAGAGAGAGAGAGAGAGAGAGAAGCATGTTTTTCACATTTTCACAAATTCTATCGATCTCTTTTTTGTATCGTATTGATCATTTCAAGATCGATGTCACTTCTATGCTTTATTAGTGTCAAATGTAGATGTATATTTTCTGTTGTTATTTTTAGTGTAAAATATGCATGTATATGTATGCGTTTCTAGTAAATAATTAAAATTTAGTCAATTCTTAGATTTGTCTAGGTGAAAATGAAATTCTTGTCAAATTTCGAACTAACTTGAATCGATAAAGTAGGATTCCATTTTTAACAAAAATAAATTTGATGAGATAAACTTAATTATATATTTATCAAAAAAACCTTTCTCAAAAATGATTTTTCAACGAAGAAATAATTATTTCAAAAAAAAATTTTAATATTTTAATGAGAACATGAACGTCGAATGTAGTGAAAAGAAATAGCACAAACTCACTTATGAAATAAAATTCGAGGGAAAAACTTGACGTACTTTTTTTTTATTTTTTTTTGCTTTATCTTCAATCTCACGTCACGCTCTTTGAGCTTTTAGAGCTTTTATTCTATATATTTTAGATAATTGTCTTATTTACCTAGTCACATTTGAGAATTTCTTTTCTTTTTAAACTGATGAGAGAACCGCTCCAGATATTCCATCATATTTTGCTCAAAACATACACAGTTAGGAGTAGTTCGATGCTCTTAATCACGAACGTGAGGACTCTAATTCTACCCGTAATTAGATTGTGATGGCATCCTCTGAAAACTGAACATTTAATTTTTAACGAAAACATCGAGTTACTGATTCATAAGATCATTAACATTTGATCATTAGGCGAAAAAAACTATGTTCGATAACCTCTGACGGGTGGGCCAGATAAAATGATGCACTTTTACAGTGGTTTTTTTCGCCATAGACTTTGCTTGAAAAAACTTTTATTCTAGTGCCAAAAGATAGAGAATTTACTTCTCTACAAAATCAATTTTTAAGCGAAGTTTATACGGCTGTACAAAAGTGCATCATTTTATCTGATTCACTCGTTTACAGTGTGGTACTATCAAAAACACGTTTACGAGAGGATCTTGCGAGTTGTTACATCGCTTTTTGAGTCAAACGTAGTGGGTTATAGGTTATCAACTATGCTGAATTAAAATATCATAGTAGTAGCTGCCAAGAAGCCTTCAGAAAGCAGTTTTCTGGAAAACCAGTTTTTCACAAACTCTGAAGAATAACTAAAACCTTTCTTAATGAGGCATAATTGTAGCCGGCAAATTTCTGATTAAAATGAGACATCTCCCAGCTCTACATGACCTTTCTTTGCAAAGTTGTAGAATTTACAAGAAATGATCATTGTCAGCTGAAAGTTACAGAGAAATAAGAATATAATTTTGGGCTTTTCTTGTAAATTCTATAACTTTGCAAAGAAAGATCATGTAGAGCTGGGAGATGTCTCATTTTAATCAGATTTTCGCGGGCTACAATCATGCCTCATTAAGAAAGGTTTTAGTTATCCTTCAGAGTTTGTGGAAAACTGATTTTCCGGAAAAAAACGCTCTCTGAAGGCTCCTGGGCAGCTACTACTATGATATTTTGATTCAGCATAGTTGATAACCTATAACTCATTAGGTTTGACTGAAAAAGCGATGTAACAGTTTGCGAGATCCCCTCATTAGTCAAAACTGAACTGTTAGGATTTTTCGAGAATTCCATTGCAAATCCTGAGCAGGAATCGAAATTTAACGATTATCGCTAACCGTGTATGTTTTAAGCATCGAGAACAGTGAAACACAGGGAATAGTTCTCTCGTGAGACGTCAACTTTGTCGGGACAAGAGTCACATTTGATTAGAATTTTGTGAGTACAGGCGTAACTTGTATCTCACATTTCACGAAAAACACAAAACGTGTATATCTTATCTCACTTCACTCGTTAGTTCATTTACTTTTTTTTCTGTTTTTATTTTAACAAAAAAAAAAAGGGAGAAGAAAAGTATGTCATTGCTTAATTATGTAAAAATGCATGCATTTTTTATTTAAGAAAAACAAAAATCCACTTTTGTCGTTGAATGTCACGCTTTTATTACTTTTATGATAAATGTTCCATCTTTTGTTGTCACTTTTTGTTATTGTTTTTTTTTCTTTTTCTTTTTCATCTAAAACTAGGATGAAGTCTCTTGGATTGAATGGAAAAAAGCACTGTATGATACATTAGTGGCATCCCAACAACATTTGACTGTCAGTGAAAAAGCATCAAAAATTTATGGAGCCGATGTGACATCATCCGCCAATATTCAACAAAAAAAACTTTTAATACAACAAGACTAAATATTATTTTTAATATAATAGACAATAAACACATACACTATGCCTTTTCTTTACTTTTCTTCTTTTTTTCTTTTTCTTTTTTTTTTTGTTTCTATTTATTTGTTTATTTTTTTTTCTTCTTCTAACAAAACAAAAAAAGAAGCTCTTTCTTCTTTGGACTTAAAGAACAGTTTGTGTGTGTGTGTGTGTGTGTGTGTGTGTCATACTTTGTATAAACAAAGCACAAGTCTGTCTCGCGTTTTTATCTCAGAGTATTTTATTTCTCTTTTTAAATTTTCTCTGTGTTGTTGCTGTTTACTTTTTATTGAATGCTAATACTTGTTAAACAAAAGAAAAAAAAAATTTTGTTTTAAGTCTGTCTACAGTGGACAAAAATGGGTAATAGCAAGAAAACAAATGTCTCATACCCTTTGTAAATAAACATTCTTTAAACTCCTTCTCATAATAGAAGATCACTTTGTTCTTCTATTTTTGTTCGGTAAGTTGAAGTCTAAATGATGATTTTCTACTGCGATTGAAAATTTTCTCGCCTATTCGTAGTTCAATGATAGAACATCATGGTATTCTATTTGACTTTCAAAAGTCATATAATCGACAGTGGTATCTTCTTATAAGAGAGATAGTCTTCTATTATGGGAGAGAGTTTAATATCTTTTATTATGGCACTAATTTAATCTCTACTATGTGCTATCATTATCTCATTGAATATAATAGTTGAAGAGAATATGTTGCTCAATAAACTCTTCATTGAGAAGTAGTTCAGATTACAGAAGAACATTCGTTTTTTTTTCATGAGAAATTAGAACGAGAACAAAACTTATATAACTGTGTGGGGTCGTTCTCTTTTTTTTCGTTTTTTTTTTTTTTGTTTTTTTTTGTTTTGTCACTTGCTTTTGTAATCATTCAATTAAATTCCAAAAAAAATACAAACAAAAAATCTCTTCATTTTTCAATGTGATGTCACTTTTGTTGTTTTTCTTTCTCCCGTTCTTGTATTAAACTTCACATTTATGCATTTTTTTTTTCTTTTTTTTTTTCTTTTTTTTTCGCTTTTTGTAAACAAATTCATATTCATATGACACGTTTTTCACTTCACTGTTGTTGTTCTGTTCTCTCTTCTCTCTTCTTTTTTGTTTTTCACGCAACCATCACAACAGTAACAACAATAAACAGCAGAGAAACCGTTTTAATTTTGATTTCTTCGCTTTTTGATAACCGAAAAACAATAACAATAACAAAATAAATCGACGTATATCAATTCTAATTTTTTAAAAAATAAAATATAATATTTATTTATTATAGGCAGATTAAAGACATTTTAGATATGGATCATATTCTTTGATGAATTTTAAACTGTGTAAACACATTTTATAACAAATTTGAAATAGCTAAATAGACTAGCAGATATATATATATGCATGAATATCGTTTTTCTTAGTCGACTCTGATCCATATTCTAACTTTTAAATTGTATACAACATACTTTAATATCTCTCTCTTTCATCTCTCATAGTTTCACCATCACATTGTTTGTCCCTTCACAAATAAATATATAATTTTCAATGGACTTTTGCAATCAAATGTTGTATCTGCTCTTAGTGTCATCTCTCTTCCCTCTTCCCCTTCCCAAAAAACAACAATAACAACAACAACAAGAAGTGTAGCTCTGAAATATAGTCGTTCTACTTAAAGACATCGATCATCATCATCATCATTCATTATGAATATTAACTCGTTTTGTTTTTTGCTGTTTATTTTCAGGATGAAGTGAGTTTTAGTGAATGGCGAATTGCTCTCTCAGATGTATTAAACAAATCAACCATGACATTATATTCATCAAAAAAAATTGGACAATTATGTGGCGGAGGTGATAAGCAATATCGACTATTAACAACAATCAATGGGCAATAATATTATTGTTTTTTTGTAAATAAAAAATTGTTTTTTTTTAGCAGTGATATACAAATGTGTCGGACGTTTTCTTCTTTTCTTTTATTTATTTATTTTTTGCTCACTGTCCTAGTCATTTTGCGTTGTGTACGTTTTTTTTCGTCTCTATGTCATGTGTTTTTAGCGTAATATATATATTTTTTCTCCTTCTTCTGGATCTGTTACTGTTGCTTTTTTCTTTATTTTGTCTTTTTATCATCATTTTCTCAATATTAAATAAATGTATTTAGCAACTTATGTCGATATGTTTTCATTTTGAACAGTTTAATATCGTTATGTTTTATTTCAATTGTTAAATAAAAGGATTAGAAGTAAACATTATTAATATATTTATGATGATTTTATGTGATCTAAAATAGCAATAGGCGTCTAACATGAGAAAGTTGGTCTAGGCTAACTCCTTCTCTAGTTACGCGATAGGTATAAAACTTGGGGTCTGAGGATTTCAAGCATGCTCTTTCTTTTGGTAAGCGGAAACGTTTTTCAAAAAACTTCAGAAGTAGGGTTTTTGAGCTATACGTTTTGAATAAAGTGAGTTTTTATAAAGACGTAGCGAGAGAAAACTTTTTTGAATATGATATTCGAATTCAGGGTTGAAAGATGGATTTAAAAAAAAAGAAATTAAGTCTCTAACTCAAACTTCCGATTTTTAAAACAAATTTTAAATTTTAAAAAAGGGAGCTTTTTTAAAGCCTCTATAATGCAGCTCAGGTAGGTGATAGAGGGCTCGTTCAAACGGCATTGGAAAGAGTATTAAAAAGTATACAAACGTAGGGGTTTGACAATGTTCACACATCACGTGATCGGGGTTTTCTAAAGGATCTTCAGAAAATCTCTCTCTAATTTCACTTAAATTTCTAGTTTTTTTATATTTAAATTTTAGTATGGAACTTTTTATGACTTCAGGTGTTCAAAATCGATTAATAGGACACAGTTGAACACTTAACAAGTTTTTTCATCGTTATATATGCCTATTATCGATTTTTTCTCTATGTCTAGACGTGTACACACACACACAGGTGCCTCTCTTAATATAGGATGAACGGAAGAAGCGAGAGACAGAGAGAGAGAGAGAAACAGAGATAAAGAGAGAAATCAGCTGCACCTGGCATGTACTAATCGATACATTCACTCTCTATTACACATACATACATACACAAACGTTCATTCTTTAACAAACATCATAATATTCATTTTCAATATTGTAACTTGTATAAAATATGTCGGATCCACGTTCACTGACAAGATTCAGCTTCGGCGATATTGAAAAATATATCAAACTTAAACTTGATAAAATATGCGGTGGTGTTACTGATAGCCATATGAAAAACTCCATGGTGCATCAGAAATCATTTCCATTACATTCGGAAGAGTTTCTACGATACTGGACAACCGAGTTACAGGATTTATAACATTACTCTCATTTAGTCTCCAAAAACTTGCTTTACTACTGAATTTCCCACCCGCATCGTATTTTGTGTGATATTGTGTTAAAAAATATCCCAGAAACTTGGCTGATATCTCATTTTGCAGAGAATTGAACGGGCTGTCCAATGAAGTGGTTGAAAAGCTTTCAGAATGAACTTTACGGTCGTTAGGATTTCTAGAAAACCCGGGTTTTCAGAAAGCTTTTTCTAAAGACCCAGAGGCCTAGCATAATTTTTCTTGATTGAAATGTAATCCTGAATGTGTTATTAATTTTGATTAAAAACATAAAGAAAATGATAAAAAGTTCAAAAAACCTGCAAAAATGAGAATGCCTAGCACTACAGTGTCTAAAGTATCTTAAAGTGACTATGACTATCCAAGGAAATTCAAAATATGCCTCTCTGATAGACCTTTGTGCGTACTATTTATTGTACTGGTCGACAGAAGCTTTTTTTTGTTTTTCATTATCGAGAAGAAGAGTAGTCAACACAGGCATGTAGTGGTTATTTTCTATTAGACGTACGTGTGGGTAAGAAGGACATTTTTGAAAAAATTCTTTTACCAAAAAATTCCTTCTCTTCTCTACTATCGAAAAATAGTATTCTGACTTTTTCAGTCGTTTTGATGAGGTTAAAATTTATTTTTTTATCGTACAAATAATTTTTGCCGAAGAAAATATAGACCTCTCTATTGTTATAGTCATAAGTCTAGATGTAAATGGCCTAGTCATTTCAACATTTTACCATAGATAGTAGAGCCAACGGGCAATCTCCTGGTAGTTTCACAATTTTAAAAAACATCTTGGTCACAAAATTATGAGCAAAACACTGATCGTACAAATAATTTTTGCCGCCACTGTATATAAACTGTACCTGCTAGTCAATGGTGGGCACAAATAAAACTCGAAATATTTATTAACAGAACAAAAAGAGAGATATTTTAGCGTAATCAAAGAGGGAAAATAAGAGATTTTGTGTTATTATAATTTTATAAGTGGCAGCAACAGATGAAGAGTTGAATATATATATATATTCAACTCATCATTGGAGTATTCTCCAATGATTGTTTGTTTTTGAGCTTTATTTTGTAGAATTGAGTTAATAGAGTCGAAAGAAAATGAAATTCGAAGACTAAAGTTGATATAACCCTTCGTTAGTTAAACACTTGAAGCAGCACACTAGCATAATATTCGCTTCGGACAGCAAATAAACTAGATAGAAACATCAGTTGGTGAAGAATAGTTGAACGTATTCGGCTGCAGAAATGACCCATGTTTATCAAACCGGCAAAAAACCGCCAATTAACCGCGATTAACCGTCCGGTTTAGTGTGCGCTTTACCATCCGGTTAATTGCGATTAACCACTGAATTGTCCGATTATTTCTGGTTAACCGCGATTAATTCACGATTTGTTTTTTGCTGAGCAAACGATATCGGTTCAAGTCCAGGACTGAGCTACTTATTTATTTTCTCTTTTCAGCGAAATACACCACGCACAGTCACTTATTTCAATTTTTCTTTTATTACTTCTATGGAAAAAACTTTCAGAAAAAGTCCATGGAAAAACTAAAGTATCAAAGCAGTTGTTGTTGCCAGATTTGTTCGTTGTTGTGTTGGTGTGATATTGTTTGCAGCTGTCATCGTTTGTCGAATAATTTGGATCTGGATCGAACACTTTCTGGAAGAGCAAAACAATATATATAAATGATGAAGGCTACAGCAGCGGACTGTAGAATTAAACTATCCCATTGGCACATAAGTTCTGCACGTTTTTTTTCTGCTCACACAATAAGCAACTTTATTTTTCAAAAACATGCCGCGTCAATCAACAATATAATCGCCGTTGTTCTCGACAACTTCTGCCCAT